ATACGCATGCTGATGAGATCTCCGAGGAATTAAAAAGGACTGCAATTAAACCACTTACAACCCTAAAACCAACAGAAATGGACAGACAAGCAAACGAACTGAAAACTATGGTAGCTTGGATAAACAACTATTAGCTACAAAGTTGAACATAATTGAGCCGACCATTCAACAGTTTCAAACATGGAGATTTGACTTTTCAAAACAACAAGGGATTACTTACAAAGGAGCTAGGTCTCTAAAACAGAAAAGAGGACGTCTCTGTTTGATTCAAAGGATACTACAAGACATAAAAAGTGACTTGTTTATTGATATAGTGGCGTTGTTATGGAAACCTGTTTGGCATAAAAGGAAAGCTAGAATAAGATTTAAAAGTGTGACTTAAGGTTTTATGTAATGGGTTTAAAAGGCTTACTAGATATGGATTGATTTATGGCTTAAGACAGTTAAATAAGATGTTAGATTGAATAAAAATTAATTAAAAGTCTGAACTTAATAATAAGATGTTTGTCTATATATTAATATGTTTTGGATATAGTAACTTTGGGAGGAGGTTAAAGAAATGTGATACAGATACTGAGGGATTGGTTGTTAGATTATAAAGTATAATAGAAATAGAAAGGTATTTTTTCTTTTTTGTTTGTTTTGTCTTTGTTTTTTCTTCTTTCTTTTTCTTTTCTGATTTGAACTAATATTTTGTTTTTATATTAGAATTGATAGTCACTTTGTAATAGAAGAAGAATAAGGAAAAAGAAGAAATGATATTAATAAAATGTTTATTGAATATGTTAAGGAAAAAGGTAATGGGGAGACTCCTGAAGTGTTAACTATGTACTTAGATTAGAAATATGGAATATAGTAATTGAAATAGTTAAGCTTCACACAGGATTTGGATTTGTGGATCTATTTAGATGAAAGGTTATTGAGGATTGTTATGATTGATTTAGTTGTATTGAAATATATCAATTTGAATATAATATGTTATTAGAGGGAAAAGAGAGGGGTTTTTTAATGATTTAATCTGAACTTTATGAGTATGACTTTGTTTTGTGGACAATTGATTGCCCTGCCACCACGTTGTTTCTTAAGCACTTGTTTGTAAAATGAAAAAACCAATAAAACTTGTTTAAAAAAAAAAAAGAATGAATACGGATGGTTCCTAATGAAACTCATGGTGGAAAGGAGCAGAGAAGATCCTGAAAAAAAAAAGTATTTTGTGTAAGCAATAGCAATAGCATTTATACTTATATACTGCTTCACAGTGCTTTACAGCCCTGTCCAAGCAATTTACAGAGACAGACAGAGATTGATAGAAGATAGACCAGGGGTAGGCAACCCAAAACACTTAAAGAGCCACTTGGACCCGTTTCCCACCAAAAACAAAACACCGGGAGCCGCAAAACCCTTTTGATATCTAAAATGAAGATAACATTGCATATATCCTTTTTTACCTTTATTATAGGTGTGTGTGTGTTTGTGTGTGTATGTGTATACACACACACACACACACACATACACACACAGGTAAAAAAAGGATATATGCAGTGTTATCTTCATTTTAGATGTCTAAAAGGTCTCTCTCTCTCTCTCTCCCTCCCTCCCTCTCTATCTGCCCTTGGTCTGCCACTCCTCTTCCCCCGCTCTCTTTCTTTCTTCTCTCTCTCTCTCTCTCTCTTTCCTCTCTCTCTCTCCCTCCCTCTCTCTCTCTTTCTCTCTCTCTCTTTCTTTCTCCCCTCCCTCCTATCTGCTGCTCACCTGGCAAGCTTCAAGCTGTTGTCCAACAAGCAACCTCGTCTCTTTTATGACTCATGGACTTCAACTCCCAGAATTCCTGAGTCAGCCTAGCTGGGCTAGCTAGTTTTCTCCTGCCCTTCCTGCTTCCTGCTTCCTTCAGAGACGCAGCAAAGGGAGGAGCTCCGCCCAGAAAGCTTTTCAGCTCCTCGGAGAACACTGTGAGTGCACTCTCTTTTACACATATACACACACACACACACACACAAAACACACACACACACACACACACACACACACACACACACACACACACACAGAAGCAGGGAAGTGCAATTGCCTCTCTCTGTCTCTGTCTTTCTCTGCAAAGGCAGAGGAGGCTGGGAGCCACAGGGGAAGGCTCAAAGAGCCGCATGCGGCTCCGGAGCCGCAGGTTGCCGACCTGTGAGATAGACAGACAGACGGACGGACGAATGGATGAATAATGAGAGATAAATAGACAATAGATCAATGGTTCTCAACCTGTGGGTCGGGACCCCATTTGGGGTCGAACGACCATTTCACGGGGGTCGCCAAACAACGCAGTCCGCCATTTTTTTCCCCTTTTCCTTAGCTGTGCTACTTCCTTTTATTCTATTGGCTTTTGAAAGCCAATAGAATAGGCTCTCTTGAATAGAGTCTAATTCTATTGGCTTTCAAAAGCCAATAGGAATTATCCAGGCTGCCCTGCTGAGCCCGCCAAAAGTCCCATTTTGCAAACGGTGCTGCACCAGTTGAGTAGTCCTCGACTTACGACCGGTTGAGTAGTCCTCGACTTACGACCGGTTGGAGGTCGCGGCATTAAAAAGGTTGAGAACCACTGCAATAGATAGATAGATAAGTGATGGCGAACCTGTCACACGTGCCAGAGGCGGCACTCAGAGCCCTCTGTGGGCATGCGTGCTGTCGCCCCAGCCCCGCCTTTCCCCAAAGCCCCCACCTCACCAGCATCCCCTCTGGAGGAGAGTTGCCCCCGGGCGTGGACCACGTGGAGCAGCACAGCCAAGCACATGGCAGCCAGGCAGTGGGGCAAGACTCCGCCCTCATGCCCCGTTGCACAGAGATGATGCATGGAATGCGGAGGGCGTGGCCACCATGGAGCTGCTGGGTCACCTGGGCAATCTGTGGCGGGCCGTGGAGGCGGTGAGTGGCCCTGTAGGCAGGCAGGGCAGGGGCAGTTTTTGGGCACTTGGTCTCTAAAAGGTTCGCCATCACTGGGATAGATAAACAGACAGACAGACAGAGACAGATTGGCTTTACAGTGTTGAAGTTTTTTTTTATTTTTTGTATATTACAGAAATAATTTCTTTCAAAAAAAACCGGTTATGGGAAACCTGGGCTGCAGCTATGTTTAAAAATAGTTTAAAAAACAAACAAACAAAAAAAAAACCAGAAAGCACCAAGCAGGTTTTTAGCCATTTTCTTTTATTGTAGGTATACAACGACAACATATGCAAAGAAAAACTAGAAAACTATCCCAATAACTTAAAAACGTTAAATATGCCATCAATGGTTGGAATAGTAAAATGTCTCATGCGTCCATAAAGGAATGTATATCATAATTCCAAGTATATCACCAAAAGAGAACTTCAAAAAGCAGCCCCCAGAAATTGGGAGCCCACGTGATGGAGAAAAACTTTTTTTTAGCTAAAATACTGGCCCTTCGTCTTAACAAACGGTCAAAAACCAAATGCAAATACAGCTAGACCTAAGTACAGCATAGCATCTTAATTAATTTAATTAAAATACAGAACCCAGCATAAAATTGTTATAAAGGCTTGACATCTTTTCAGCGTACATTTCATTCTGAATAGAGAAATCTAAAAGTTAATAAAAAGGAAGAATATAGACCTTCTATTATATTCTCTAATAGGGCACATTCCAGGCAAAATTTTTATTAAGGACTACGAAAATACGTTATCTTCCGTTCTGTTTAATAATTTACTTTTGTTAAAAAGGTATAAGGTCATCACAGAAAGTTTTTACAAATTCATTTACTTTGTACTAAATTAACCCCCTCCCCAACCATTTAAAAACAACAACAACAACAACCCAGCATCCAAAGGCAAGTTTTATATTGTTTTGTTATTTTTACCTTTGTTGTAACAATAAATGCAAGAACTCAGGAAAGGAGATTACAAGTTGTATGAAGGGATATAAATTTACGCAACGAACACCAGGATATAATAAACCAGCCTGTTTAATATAAACAAGCTTGTGGTTAAGAAGAGTCACTAAGCTTTCATCTGGCCAAAAAACTGCCGGCGTCATCAGAGTTAGAATAGCAGATCGCGAAGGCAGTTTTTTGGCCGACATCGCGAAGGCAGTTTTTTGGCCGACGAAAGCTTAGTGACTCTTCTTAACCACAGGCTTGTTTATATTAAACAGACTGGTTTATTATATCCTGGTGTTCGTTTTTTCTTTTATTTGTTAGCATAATGCCCAGGATTCGCATTTTTAGTATTTTAAAAGACTATATATATAGTCTTTTAAAAATTGAAGAATAGCGATTCCTGGGTACATACATTTCAGTAAAAAAGGAAGCGATCACCAGGAAATAAAACACCAAGGTTTTAATAAATAAAATCAAGCTTTCGATGGCTAACATCTGCCATCATCATCAGGATACAAGCCAGCTAGTGAGGAAACCTGCTTATAAGCATAGCCACACCTAAACTCTACGCATGGACCTTGTAACCTTTCAATGGCTAGGTGGATGTAAGTAAGAGCTAAAAGAAAGAATCACTGAAGGCTGTAAGTGAAGTAAGGATTAGTTGGCTTGGACCTATTACAAGGTCCATGCGTAGAGTTTAGGTGTGGCTATGCTTATAAGCAGGTTTCCTCACTAGCTGGCTTGTATCCTGATGATGATGGCAGATGTTAGCCATCGAAAGCTTGATTTATTTATTAAAACCTTGGTGTTTTATTTCCTGGTGATCGCTTTTTTTTTTTACTGAATATACTATATAATATATATATATATATATTATATAATATATATATATATATATATATATATATATATATTATATATATCTGAGGTTTTCGCGGGTTGTTTGTATGTAGGTCTTTGGTTATTCGGTTTTCTCCCACGTAAAATTGGAAGTGTCTTGGCAATGTTTCGACGAAGTCCCATTCGTCATCTTCAGGTGGTGTTTTCGGCTTCGTGCTTCTAGGAGCAAGGAACGTATATTTCCTCCCAGAAGCACGAAGCCGAAAACACCAGCCTGAAGATGACGAATGGGACTTCATCGAAACGTCGCCAAGACACTTCCAATTTTACGTGGGAGAAAACCCGAATAAAACCCGAATAACCAAAGACACACACACACACACACACACACACACACATATTATATTACAGCAACCTCTTTAATCTCCTAAGAAAGTCTACAAAGTTATATTACGGGGGGGGGGGTGGTTCAAAGGTTGGGATAAAGCTGTGTCTGAATTCACCCACCTTCTTCGACATTAAAAAATAATAATGATGGGGGGGGGAGTTTAAAAAAATTGTGAGTAGAGAACAGAATCGCAGCTTCAAATTAATCTGCAAATCTCCAGATGTGGGTGGAATTCTGGACGAGAGAGAGAAGCTTCAGCAAACACACAGAGCTTTCCTAGGTTGATGGAACAAGGGGCTCCCCAACTTTTTCTGTCCACGTACGCTTCGGCGGATGGCCAGCCTGTTGGTGTTTTTATGCTGGGAGGTGGAAGAGGGGCTTTCGGGCTGCCCCCCAAGGTTTTGGCTCAGGCCGCGTTTAGGTTTCTTTACCAGAGGCCCCGAGTTGGATTCTTCCAATGTCCTTTTGAAGCTGGCCACCGGCGGAGTCCTCTCCGGTTCCTGTACTTTGGGCGCATCACTCGGGGAGATCTTGACGGATTTGGGGTCTGGACCTGCATTCCTGGCGTTGGAGGGAGACAGAGTCCCCGGTGGGTTTTGACCGTACGAGTCATGTGCCCACAGTCCAAGCGCATTGCTGCCCTTCTCGTCCGGCGGCACCACCTCTCTCGAGCAACTTGCGCCTAAACCATCATTGTCCTTCGTCAGCTCGTCAAGTTGCTCCGGAAGTCCGCCCGACACGGTGGCATTGCTACAGGAGAATAAAGGGAGGCCTTCCGAGGCACTGAACCGGGGCCACACGTCATCTTCTACGACCTAATGGGATTTAAAAAATAATAATAATGAAGAATTACAGTTTTCAATTTCAAAAATTCCTTTCAGTTTAAAGAAAAGAAGGACCAGGGGGGGTGATACGATAGCAGCGTTCCAATATCTGTCGCAGGGAAGACAGGGCCAACCTATTCTCCAAAGCATGTGAAGGCAGGTATGTAGCCTGCCTACATGCAGCGGTCCTAGCAACTGCGGATGGACAGCATAAATTCTGGGGCAGGGTGCCACCCATGTCAGAAACTATTGTCCAGATTGTGGCTCTGTCCATCCTGGAACTGATGACGTCAACTAGTTGGGTCATAAAATGTCTGCCAGAAAACCACCAAAAACCCTAATCAAAGATGATTAGGGGGCTGGAGGCTAAATATATATGAAGAACAGTTGCAAGAATTGGGTATGTCTAGTCTAGTAAAAAAGACTAGGGGTGACATGACAGCAGTCTTCCAATATCTGAGAAACTGCCACAAAAAAAGAAGGGGTCATCCTATTCTCCAAAGTACCTGAAGGCAGGACAAGAAGCAACGGATGGAAACTCATCAAGGAGAGAAGCAACCTAGAACTAAGGAGAAACTTCCTGACAGTGAGAACAATTAACCAGTGGAACAACCTGCCTCCAGAAGCGGTGAATGCTCCAACACTGGAGGTTTTTAAGAAGAGATTGGACAGTCGTTTGTCTGAAGTGGTATAGGGCAGACATGTCAAACTTGCAACGGTTTTGCCATTGCCGGCAATGGGGTGGGTGTGGCTTCCAGAGATGTGTCCGGCCTGCAGGCTGGAAGTTTGACACCCCTAGTATAGGGTTTCCTACCTGAGCAGGGGGTTGGACTAGATCAGTGGTTCTCAACCTTTCTAATGCCGCCACCCCATAATACAGGTCCCCATGTTGTGGTGACCCCCAACCACTTATACATCACCGGGTGCCAGGGGCATGGCCAAAGAAAAGGGGGGAAAAATGGCGGACAGCCCGTTTGGCGACCCCCATGAAATGGTCGTTCGACCCCAAATGGGGACCCGACCCACAGGTTGAGAACCACTGGACTACATGATCTTTCCAATCCAGTTATTCTATTGTGTAATACTTCTTTTTTCCCCTTAAGAACAACCTTAATCACAGTTGTAAATCTTACTGTCACCCACATCCCCATAATTTGCCTTGTCAAACCCATTCAGACGTGCTGGGATTGCAACTGCCAGAATTGTGAAACAGACTTTATGACAGAATTCTTAATAGAGAAATCAAAAAAGGTAATAAAGTAAGAAAAATAGACCTTCTATTTATATTCTCTAATAGGGCACATTCCAGGCAAAACATATTAAGTATTATGAAAATAGGTATCTTCCGTTCTGTTTAATAATTTACTTTTGTTAAAAAAAATTGGGAGGTGATCCCAGGAAGTTTATATAAATTCATTACTTTGCACTAAATTGACCTTTCCCCCAACCATTTAAAAAAACAACAACATGCAAATCCAGAATTCCTTCAGCCTGCCTCGCTGGTAATTCTGAGTATTTCAATCTCCAAATATTTTTTGAAGAAATCAAATGGGAAAGGGCTGCAACTGACTGAGAGAGATCTATTTGGTAAATGAGTTCATACTGGCCAGCACTTTTCGCTTCTCCAACATGAATCCTTATGCAATCAAAATGGCACGATCCACATACTGAGCCAAAATTTCCGTTGCTAAGCCAGACAGATGTTAAATGAGTTGTACCTTTTACAACCAATCACCAGGAGACGGTGAGTTCTAGTCCCGCCTTAAGCCATGAAAGCCATCTGGGTGACTTGGGCCAATCACCAGGAGACAGTGAGTTCTAGTCCCGCCTTAAGCCATGAAAGCCATCTGGGTGACTTGGGCCAATCACCAGGAGACGGTGAGTTCTAGTCCCGCCTTAAGCCATGAAAGCCATCTGGGTGACTTCGGCCAATCACCAGGAGACGGTGAGTTCTAGTCCCGCTTTAAGCCATGAAAGCCATCTGGGTGACTTGGGCCAATCACTAGGAGACGGTGAGTTCTAGTCCCGCCTTAAGCCATGAAAGCCAACTGGGTGACTTGGGCCAATCACCAGGAGACGGTGAATTCTAGTCCCGCCTTAAGCCATGAAAGCCATCTGGGTAACTTTGGGCCAATCATCAAGAGATGGTGTGAGACATGAAAGCCAGTGGGTGACATTGGGCAAGTCCCTCTCTCTCACCCCAACCCACCTCACAGGGTTGTTGTGTGGGGAAAATAGCAGGAGGAAAGTGTGTTGGACACATTGACACAGATGGCCTCTTTGACCCCTCTTTCGAACCAGCGGTCCTCTCTGTCCAGAATGTGGACTTTGCTGTCTTTGAAAGAGCGGCCTTCGTCTTTCAAATGCAGATGGTCTTCTGAACCTTGTCCTGATGGGTTTGTTCTCCTATGTTGTGCCATGCGCTTGTGAAAGAGGTTGTTTTGTTTCCCCAATGTACAGATCTGCACACATCTCACTGCATCGTACTGCATATATCACGTTGCTCAGTTTGTGTCTGGGTGTTTTATCCTTGGGGTGGACAAGCTTCTGCTTTAGTGTACTTTCAGGTTTAAAGTGTGTAAATTTGTTAAGTGAGTTTTGCCTCATTTTACCACCCTTCTTCCTATGGTTGTTCAATGAATCACTGCAGTTGTTACGGTCAATGCTGCTAATATTGAATATTCTTGCTTTGACAAAATATGCAGAACTGTCTGGTATTTTTAGAGTTAGTTCAGATGACAGAGAAAAGGGAGGAGATAGTAAGGAAAGCCCGGGAAAATGAAGGGAAGTGAATCTTTGCCCTCCAAGTTGATTGGAAGATGTGAATCATGACCCCAAAATAGGGGAGGGGAAATGCCTGGAATGTTATGTGCAAAGGGAAGGGAAATTCAGATCTTGGCATCCATCATGCCATGCTGACACGTCTCTACACTAATAAAGGTTTTTTTAGGTTAAACCATGCCTGAAAATTCTTTGAAGTGTTTCATTAGTCAGACACATGACAGTTACATTAGTAACATGGTTGTTAAGTGAATCGGGCTTCCCCATTGACTTTGTCTGTCAGAAGGTCGCAAAAGGCAGTTACATTGCAACCGTCATAATTAGGAGTCAGCTGCCAAGTGTCCGAACTTTGACCACGTCACCATGGGGATGCTTCAGTGATCATAAGTATGAAGAATGGCCATAAGAGTACAACACAGTACTGCAGGCTACTTCTGCTGACTGCCGGCTGCCAGCAGTTCGATCCTGACCGGCTCAAGGTTGGCTCAGCCTTCCGTCCTTCCGAGGTAGGTAAAATGAGGACCCAGATTGTTGGGGACAAATAAGCTGACTCTGTAAACCACTTAGAGAGTACTGTTAAAGCACTATGAAGCAGTATATAAGTCTAAGTGCTATTGTTATTCTTCCTTCCTTCCCTCTTTCCCTTCTTTCTTTTTCTCCCTCCCTTTTCCCCTTCCTTCCTCCCTCCCTCCCTTCCGTCTTTCCTTGTCAGGGTGGAGCAGTGGTTAAAATGTGGTATTGCAGGCTGACTCTGCCCACTGCCAGGAGTTTGATCCTGACCGCCTCAAGGTTGATTCAGCCTTCCGTCCTTCTGAGGTAGGAAAAATGAGGACTCAGATTGTTGGGGGCAAATAAGCTGACTCTGTAAACCGCTTAGAGAGTGCTGTAAAAACCACGGTGAAGCAGTATATAAGTCTAAGTGCTAAGTATTTTTTTTTACTTCCAAAAGAGGCAACAGGTCTTATTTTGGGGGCATGTCTTACCCGCTTAAGTTAGGTCCGCCGTAGCCAGGCCTCCCAGACCACAGCACCTGTTGTGCCACTGCTCGACTTCTGCAGCCAGTGCAATGTGTCATGCGGCCTCTGGCTGCAAGCGGTAGCACCGGCATGACGTGCCACATGGCATCCAGCTATGAGTGGCGGAACCAGCGCCACGCAACCTCCTGCCGCAAGTGGCGGCAACGGCACCATGCATCACCTGGCCTCCTGCCGTCAGCAGCGGAACCAGCGCCATGCGGGGTCCTGCAGCGAATGGTGGCAACAGCGCAATGCACCATGTGGCATCTGGTCGCAAAAGAAGTTGGGTAGAGGCGCGACAGGTGCTGGGCATGGGAGGCCTAGCTGCGGCAGTCCTAAGGTAAGCAGGTGCAGGGCGTGTGAGGCAGCTCCATCCCCCCCACCCCTGCCCTAGCTTGATTTTTATGTGTGAGCCTCACCCCACCTTGTACAAGCAGACTGTGGGAAGGAGTGGGCGGGTCTTAACTAGGGCTTATTTTTTGGGTAGGGCTTATATTTGGCGCATATGTCAAAATCAAGCGAGGGTTTATTTTTGGGATAGATCTTATTTCTGGGGAAATACAGTAGGCCAGTGGTGGCGAACCTATGGCACGCGTGCCAGAGGTGGAACTCAGAGCCCTCTCTGTGGGCACGTGTGCTGTCATCCCAGCCCCGCCTCCCCTTGCGGCTCCCTCCTCACCAGCAGCCCCCCTGTAGGAGAGTCGCCCCCGGGCGCAGCCCACACAGAGCAGTGCAGCCAAGGACATTGCAGACGGGTGGTGGGGACAAAACTCCACTCTCGCGCTCTGTCAAATGCAGTTGATGCTGCAGAGGGCAGGTGGAGGGTGTAGCCATGGTGTGCTGGGCCGCCTGGCGAACTGCAGTGGGCCATGGAGGCAGTGAGTGGCCCTGTGGGTGGGTGGGAGGAGCGGGGGCAAAGGGTGGAGCAGGTGGGACGGGGACGGGCTGGTTTTCGGGCACTTGGTCTCTAAAAGGTTCGCCATCACTGCAGTAGGTATATTGTGTTCTGCCTATCAGTACCTATACTTACACACACACACACGTGCGCACGCCCTCATAACTGATGAAGCTTCTTGGATGAGAAGCAAAACTTGTCCCATCTAAGTGAAGGCAGGACAAAAAGCAATGGATGGAAACTCATCAAGGAGAGAAGCAACGTAGAACTAAGGAGAAACTTCCTGACAGTGAGAACAA